GAGATACGAGTCTCACTTTGTTGCCAGGCTAGAGTGAGTGCCATAGCGCAGCCTAGCTCACAGCAACCTCAAACTCCTGGGCTCAAGCAATCCTTCTGCCTCAGCCTTCCGAGTAGCTACCATGCCCAGCTAATTTTTTCTGTATATATTAGTTGGCCAATTAATTTCTTTCTATTTATAGTAGAGACAGGGGTCTGCTCTTGCTCAGGCGGTTTCGAACTCCTGACCTAGTAATCTGCCTGCCTCGGCCTCCCAGAGTGCTAGGATTACAGGCGTGAGCCATTGCGCCCAGCGGAAACCCAGATTCTTATATTCAACTGCCTATTTGGCATTTTCAATTTGAAGTCTAAAAGACATCTCAAATTAAACATGTCCAAAACAGGAATCCTGACCTCCCACTGTCTTCCCCATCTCAGCATGATACCCTTTGATTTGCTCAAGACAGAAATGTTGGACCTCTCTCTTTCTGTCTCACTGCACATCTGATCTGTCAGGAAATTCTATAAGTCTTCAGGATAGATCCAGAATCAGACCACTTTCACAACCTTGGAACACCATGATGTTCTAGCTACCATGATCTCTCACCTAGATTATTGCACTGCTTCCTAATTAGTATCACATACCCCTACAATCCACTTAGCAGCTAGTGGGTTACGGTGTCTGCAACATCCTGTATGATCTGCCTCCACTGCCAGTCTGTTCTCTGCACCTATTCCTCTTTGTCCTTTGTGCTCCACCATATAGGCTTCTTGCTTCTTAAACATGGAAATTAGGGCCTTTACCCTGGTTATTCCTTCTGCCTAGGAAGTCTGTTTGTTCCCTCACACCTTTAGGCTTAGTTTCTTCTCAGACAGGCCTATAGTGACCACTCCATTTAAAATTGCAACATCCCTACCTGTCTCCTACTCCTTTCATCTGTGCTCTATTTTTTCCATAGTGCTTATCTTCTTTTAACCTAGTATGGTGATACTTATTTATATTTGTCTCATCCAATTAGAATGTAACTCTCTATAAGGGCAGACATTTTGTTTTTACTGTTCACTGATATATTTTCCAGCACCCGTAACAGGGCATCACATAAAGTAGGCATTCAATGTTTGCTGAATGGGTGGATTAATGAATGATGTAGGTAGGTAAGAGCGAAGCTACAAAAGACTTGGAGGCTATGCCCAGAATTTAAAGCCAGCCTCTTATCATTTATCCTCTAAAGAGTGGAATTGGGCCAGGCGGTGGCTCACACCTGTAATCCTAGTACTCTGGAGGCCAAAGGTGGGAGGATTGCTCCAGGTCAGGAGTTCGAAACCAGCCTGAGCAAGAGTGAGATCCATCTCTACTATAAATAGAAAGAAATTAATGGCCAACTAATATATATAAGAAAAAAATTAGCCGGGCATGGCACATGTCTGTCGTCCCAGCTACTCAGGAGGCGGGCAGGAGGATTGCTTGAGCCCAGGAATTTGAGGTTGCTGTGAGCTAGCTAATGCCACAGCACTCACTCTAGCCTGGCAACAAAGTGAGACTCTGTCTCAAAAATAAATAAAAAGTGGAATTGGAATTTCCTAACACAAAGAATGTTAAATGCCTGAGATGGTGGATACCCAATTGCCCTGATTAGATTAATTCTCACTGTCTGCCTGCGTCAAAGCATCATATATCCTATAAAGATATACAACTATTATGTACCCATAATAATTAAATTTTTATTTTTTTATTATGATTTCTTCACCTTCCTTAGATCTGAGAATTAATTAAATTTTAAAAACCATTTTAAAACAGCAGTGAAGCTTGGAGACTTTAGTACAAGACTGACTAAATAAAAACGGAGTACTGTAGACCTAGGAAGGAAAGACAATGAGTTTTAGTTGATGACAGGTGAAATTTGGCATGTCTGTGGGTCAACCAAAAATGGCTGTACACAAGGCACCTGGAATTAGGGTCTGGCGAGAAGGTAGGGAATCCACTCCCAGGTACAGATTTGGGAGTTGTTGGCATGTGGAACAAAATGTCTGTTCCCCTTATTTAGCTTTTATCACACACTGCTCTGTTCTTTTTTTTAAATTTTTTTTGAGACATAGTCTCCCTCTGTTGCCCTGGCTAGAATGCTGTAGCGTCAGCCTAGCTCACAGCAACCTCAAACTCCTGGCTCAAGCAATCCTATAAAAAAAAAAAAAAAAAAATCTGGTTGCACAACACAGTAGTCTATAATTCATAGTGATCAAGCTTCTGGCATGAATGGATTAGCGTGGAGCCAGCGCCTTTTATTTATGACAGCTGTATCGAGGTATAATTCACATGCCATACAATTAACCCATTTAAAGTATTCAACCCAATTCAGTACTTTTTAGCATATTCACAGAGTTGTGCGACCATCACCACAATCAAGTTTAAAAGGATTTTCATTAACCCAGAAAGAAACCTTGTACCCTTTAGCAGTCACCACCCATTTCCCTTCAACGCCCCCAGCCTAGACAGCCACTAATCTACTTGCTGCCTGTATATAGCTGCCTGTTCTGGGCATTTCCTATAAATGGAATCATGCAGTCTTTTGTGACTGGTTCCTTTCACTTAGCATGTTTTCAACATTCATCCATGATGTAGCCTGTGTCAGTACTTCATTCTTTCTAATTGCCTAATAATGTAAGTATGGATATACTACATTCTATTTATCCATTCATCAGTTGATGGACATTTGGGTTGTTGCCACTTTGGGGCTCCTCTGAATAATGCTGCCGTGAACATTTGTGTGTAAGTTTTGTGTAGACACGTTTTCATTTCTCTTGGGTAGATACCTAGGGGTGGAATTGCTGGGTCGTATGGCTAACTCTGTGTTTAACCTTTTGAGGAACTGTTAAACTTTTCAAAAAAGGCTACACCATTTTACATTCCCACCAGTAGCATAGGAGGGTTTTAATTTTTCATATCCTCTACAATGCTTGCTATTTTCTATCTTTTTGATTATAGATACCCTTCTGGGTATGACGTGATATCTCATTGTGGTTTGAATGGTATTTCCTGGATGGCTAGAGATGTTGAACATAGTTGCATGTGTTTATTGACCATTTGTATATCTTCTTTGGAAAATATCTATCTAGATCCTTTGCCCATTTTTGTTGTTCTTTTTGTTGTTGTTTTTTTGAGACAGGGTCTCACTTTGTTGCCCAGGCTAGAGTGAGTGCCATAGCGTCAGCCTAGCTCACAGCAACCTCAAACTCCTGGGCTCAAGC